CTTTGACAGGTACTGATGCCGACATATGGATACTGAACACTTTGAGAGATAAAAACATGTACGTTTTTGCTACAGTGTAAAAATATTTTTATTTCTACTGTAAAAAAATGATAAATTATTCAGTGTTTAGCCTCTTGAGAGTAACAAGAATGTGAAGCTCATCCTCTATTTTGTCAACAGCATAAATACACGAAACAAAGGATGAGCCACACACAGTGTTGTCTTTCCACCGCCTGTAGTTTCTGCCACGTATTTGATTTGAATAATGTATCAACCTGAAAAATTTATAAGGAGTATTCCTTGATCTAACACGACTTATGGGAAAAATCCTCCTCTCTGTAATGACTGTGGTCGCTATCCATGCTTTCTGGTCTTTTGGCGTGTGTATTTTAATAGTGAGTATTTACAGAGGCAATAGTGAACATTGCATGTGAATAATATGTAGCTTGGAAATGTTCATTTAACCCTTAGCTGTAAAAATAATTATAATCATAGAATGCAGGGAATGTGCTGCATTTGAGATAAAATCAATGTTTCTGCAGCTACGCCATCAAATAACAGGCTTCCTTTAGTAGATACTAGTCAACACAGTAGCAACCTTGCAGTGGGAGGTGCTATAAGCCGATTAGAGGTTATACAATACTTGAATCCATCCGTAGAAGCACAGTTTGGCCTCTGACCCACGCCTTGGAGCTGAAAATCTGGACCAAATGTGGATCGTTATTGCTGCATCTAGTGATTTTGCCGGGATGCTAGTCTGTGGTTCTAAAACCATTGAAATCAATTGTGTTCTGCAGTTTTTCATAGTTTAGCCATTCATTTGTATCCCATGAGGCATATGCAGTTTCCTTTAACAACCGAACATAACCACCCTAAGAACAATCAAATCCAATAGTGCTGACAAAATACCCTACAGCACACCTGCACGTCCTTCAGTGCATATGCTGAGAATTACTGTAGCACATGTCTCTGAATTACGCTGCGTGCTTTAAGGAGTTTAATTTAAATAAACCTACAGTTGGAGTTAAGCTTAGGTATCAGCATAGGCAGTAATTTAAAAACCGTTCACAAGGCAGCTCACTGACCTTGAAGGTTCATCTACATGTAGTTTTTCACTTGTAATCACTGGAGGCTCCAAAGGCAGAGGGACATTTTTTCCACATGACTACCTGAACTGGGAGATTCCCCTGTGGATTCCTGTTTGATGCGAAGCAAGACAGCGAAGCACATATTAATACACACATGTTCATACAAATTTTGTACATTTTGATAGTGTGACATAGGATGTGTCGGCTAGTTGTTTATGTATGTTTTGCATTGTGTATACGAGCGTCAGCGTGTACCTCAGTAGTCAACATTATTGCATTGGATGCTCCTTTTATCAGTCTTGATAATTCTGTAGAGTTAGCATAGACTTTTCATGTCTCTGGTTCAGCCAGCAGTGATTTATTTTGTTGAGGTGTGACCTCAACATCCTGGCTCCACGATACCACACCTCTCCTGCAAGAGCAAACAGCCCTGATATCACAATATTATACACACGGCCACACGGGGCAGAGCTGTGGGGAATTTCTCATTTTATTTCCATGTTATATCTGTCTGTCTGGCACTGTGTGTATTGTGTGTGCACAGGGGAGACGAGCAGAAGGGGGAGAGAGACCGAGAGACAGAGAGTGCGAGGAAGAGTCAGAGAGAGAGGTGAAGGGGAGGGAGACTGGATCATGCATGTGCATTAACTCAGCTCCAGCGGTGCAGCAACAGCAACAGCAGCAGCAGCGGCAAACAGAAACAGCAGCAGCTCTGGAAGAAAATAGAGATCGAGGAAGCGGGAGAAGGAGGGAGAGGGAGAGGGAGAGAGAGAGAGAGAGAAGGGGAACAACAGAGAGGGAGAGTTGGAGGGAGGGTAGTAGTCTCAGACACAGGAACAAAAGCTGCAGAGGACTGCTCTCCATCTCCAATAAAAGAACAACGGAGGAATAACACCAGGAGGAGGGGGCAGTCATGATAGTAGTGAGACATAATGGAAGAGAGGAGGCAAATAGTAGTCTGTGAGGACTGAAACCAAGGCTCTTTTCCTCTCTGCTCTCCATGTTTTCGGGACTCAGCATATCATTGTTTTTAACTCTAAACAAAGAGGAGGATGTCTGTGTCGGGAAAGAAGGAATTTGACGTTAAACAGATCCTCAGGCTCCGCTGGCGCTGGTTCAGCCATTCATCCCAAGGTTCAGCTGGCAATGGAGGTGGAGGTGTTGGTGGGGTGGGAAGCTACATCCAACAGGATGGCCTGGACCACAGAGGGATGCCCGTCCAGGGTCGGATGAAAAGTCACTCCCGGGAAAGAAGTGTTGGCGGACTATGGAAGACAAGCAGCCCAGTCCACAGCATTTTGGTGCCAGTGCCAGGGCCAACACCTGTCAATGTGAGAGCAGGGAATCAAGCATGGCCTCAACAGAACACCATCCAGGGAGTCCAGGTCAACGAAGAGAGATCAAAAAGTAGTTCCTCACCTAGTTCCACTAGAAAAGAGGACAACCACCCTGGCCAGGAAGATGTGAAAAACAGCACAGATGACCCTGCAGAGGTGGAGGCCAGAGAGAGGTATGCTGTTAGGTAGTGGATGCTTTTGTGATAGAGATGGATGATGTGGTGTCACATCAGCCACTTTGTATTTCACACTCAGGTGGAGTGATATTTTGAGACATGCTTTCTCACATTTCCTCATGAAGCTCTAGAAAAAACAGAAGAACAAAAAGTCAGCTGAGGCAACCGCATAATTAAAGAGTCAAAAGAATGCTTTTGTTTTGTTAAGGAGTCAAAATCCTGATTTACACACAGAATGTTGCTTAGCACATTAATACTCACACTAGTCAATGTTTGCAGCAGTTTAATTGATATAAACATCATGCTGATTCTCAAATTAGGACTTAATTATCCGTTTAGCTACAGCACCCACATGCCAGGCACTGTAACTAGTGTTCACCAAGAAACAGGCTCTCTCTTACTGTCCTTCGCATGTAAGGTAGTATCAACCAATAAACATCCTTTTAATTATTCAGTGGGCCAAAGTCTTTTTTCTGCTCCAGTCTCTATGTTGTGGTCCACTTTTCATGCACAGTCGGCCTGTACCTACCTCTGTGCGACTCCTTTGAGATTATACCATAGTTTTCATGCAGCACACTAATGCATTCTTTTATAGAGTCAAAGTAAGGAAGCGAGAAAGAGCAATTGTTTCACTGACTGGACCAATAAAAATTAGAAAGTAAAAAAGTGCAATCACATTAGTTGCCCACGCATCAGTGCAGACACTTAAAACACCAAAACCATCAGCATTTATTTTCAACTAACTTTCAGGATAATTTTTAGTTTAGTTTTAGTTTTTTGTTTTTAAACTCAAACACCCACTCACTCTCTAGGATTTGGGTTTTTATATATATCATGTCAACCTTTCTTTTAGGAAACGTAGTATAAATGTAGTGTAACCAGAGTCTAAAATCACCTTTCCATGAAAGATGAAAAGACCATCATCCTTTCATCTTGTCCTTGACTGTCTACGCTGAATTGTACCTTTGGCATTTTTGGCTCATGTTATTATTTTTGTTGTCTTTGCACTCAAAATAACATGAACACAGCTTATCAGTCCTTTTGTTTGGAAAAGGCTCACTGGTAATAAATGCAGTCCATGGTTGGATTCCCTGAGCACAACATGAATTATTCTGAGTTAAGATACAGATTTGGAATCAGTGCCGTGTTCTGCTGTCTGCATTGGCATAATTGGCAGATGTTCACATTTTGTGGTCTGTATGTGTGGAAAGGGCATGCATAAAAGATGTGGCTTTCGGTCACTGTGGAACTCTTGTACATCCCTTGAGAACCATGTTGCCCGTGGTCCGTGTTGACCATGAAAAATACAGCATGGCCATGGTATTTTGGCAGGGATAATAAAATATTAAATTGGTTCTTTTCCGCAGGACCGTAAAATACACTTTTGACTCAGATGCATTAGATTGTAGTGATTGCTATGTTTGAATTCCAATGGCAATTCATGAAATAATCAAAACGTAAGTCTACACCAAGGACAATCAAATTTAGGGAAAAATATCACTCTTTTATATACACAAATAAATTCTGTCAGTGTTTTATCACTTCAAAGAAGACAAATTTGTTTTTTTTACAAATATGTTCTCTTCAGGACATGCACTAAAAATGTTCAGAATGTTAGGTCAGTGACTCTATGACACATCACAGCTTACATGTACGGTGGCAGCTAAGCAGATGTATAGATGTCACTGAGATATGCACATTCATTTACTTCCACCAGCTGGGTGGCCCTATTACGTCTCACATCATAAATCCCTGACTCGTAATTTGTCACAATCCCTGAAGCAGGCTGAAGAAGTGGGTTCTGCTGGCAGTTTGAAAATAATACAAAAGTTTCAGCTTCCACTGTAGTTGGGGAGAATGTGTCAGTCATTTTTAATACATCTCCTTCAATGATTTATTTTTATTTTTTAGTTTAAAATTGATAAAAAGATGCTAGATAATACTAGCTACATAAAAAGTATATTTAATATTCAATGTTCATATGAAATAAAAGGGTATTATATATACCATACGTGGTGCAAAAACCATTAAGCTACTTTACGCCCGTGTCATAATATTAGCCTTCGCCTCCACATCTAACTGGTGAAATTGTATCTATCTATTAAATCAAGTGGAGTATACTGTAATACTCTCTTGCTTCAAGCTTAATACTAATGCTGTAAACTGTGTATTTGTACAGTCCTCATGACTCTCAACCAAATTGGATCTTCTGTTGTTGGCAGAAATTATAGGACAGATGTTAACCTGAGTGTGATGGAAACCCTGACCTCTCCCACATAAACACTAACTGAGGCTCCAATCCTGTAGGCTGTTAGTTTGAATGATATCTCAATTCTCTTTCTAGCACCTTGGAAAAGGAAAGCCACCCCCGCTCCCTGCTGCCAGCAGCAGTAATTGATAGTTGTTGGATGCTTCATAATACCAGACTTAGAGGATTTTGATCAATATGTGACACATCTAGTGGAGATGTCTCTGAGATGCTGTCAATGGCAAAATATGGTACTTGTGTAATCGCCAAGACTTCTTCAGGGTTAAGAAGATTTTGTGGTCACATCAAATTGATTCTGACTGTACTTTAACTTTGTCATATCAGCATTTTGAATACACAAAGGGCATCTGGAATAGAAGATAAAGTGTTTTCTGGAACTAAATGTTTTTTAGAGGTTAAGGCTTTTGCAGCAGTGGGGGAAAACACATTGAATTTAGTAGCTAAATTATTTGGTTTAGGTGTTTTGGACCAAATAGAATCGTATACACTCTAAATTCTCAGTAGTAATTTACAAAAGAGTGCTTTATCAGGATTTTTGATTCTTAGGATGTAACTACATACAAATCTGTAGACTTTTCTATGTATAGTTAAAGTTAAACACAAAGTGTTTAAATATACAATTTAATGTTGCAGATTATTTTGTTTACAACTTCAATTCGAGATTAATGACAGTCCAGCAGAAAGAACCTAAATGAGCACTTTACCTTCAGCAAAGCACTGCATAGCGTTTTGCTAAGATCTTCACATTTCTCACTTATAGGACGCCCCCCTTCACCCTGCACACGCACACACCAATGCACAGCATAGCTCTGCTCGGCAATTTGAGTCAATTTATCAAGGACCAAAAATAAAAAAATATGGCATTTAAATTTACTCTACCGTCAAAATTTACCATCCATTCACCTTCTGAAGGCAGGCCTAGCTTTAATATCCTATATTTTATAACATATAAACCAGTGAGTGCCTCTATTTAGAAATGTATTTAGTTCTAGTGCAGTAAATTCTAAGGGACCTTTTAACAGATGTATCTCATGTCCGGCTACATTTTTAATTATGCAGATTTGATTAATTAAAATATATTGCCCTTAATTCTGTAGACTTTCATTCCCTGTGATATACATCCTGTTTTAGTAGTTACTTAATATTCAAAACAAGAATCTACAATTCACCTGAAATTTCTATTGTCTCTTCACAGACATTGTGCTGAGGTAAAGTTCTCCACCACACTCCTTTTTAGTATGTGCTGTCCTGGTCAGAGCTATAAGAAGGCCATATTTCGTTTTCATTATTAGCTCTAGCAATTTTCCACTGCAGTCTCTAAAATATAGAGGGGCCTACAGCACACATTTGGAGCAGATTTTTAAATGGCACACTTCCTGTACCCTGCTACATTTTTCTAAAGCACCAGCAATGCTATGCAGGTATGTCCGGTACAACAGCAGAGGATGTCTGATATCTGTTGAAAGTCTTGGTAGTATAGGAAGTGTGCAGGGAGGAAAATCTATTTCTGCATGAGGTTATCATTTTAGTTTCACTGTGGGATCAAGTTATTACAGTCTGTGTATGTTTCTCTCTATACAAAGGCGAGGGGCAGTAAACCGCCTGTCAAAGCGCAGAGGGACATAAAGATCTCAGAGAATATATCGACTTGGCACATGCGGCAAGAGGCTTTGTCTGAGTTGTTGGATTTTAAACCCAAGCCACTCAGCAGATTTCTGCAGTAAAAGGCTTTTATAATCCTTTTTGAAAAAGACATTTCCCAGTTGACAATGGCAGGCGGAACTTCCCCTTTTTATGAAAATACAATTTACACGAGGCTGAGATAAGAAGAAACAGCTAATAAGCTAATTAGATTTGAAAAACAATAATACACTTAGCAATTATCAATCCTTGTCCTTCCGGGTTAGAACCGCTTCTGATGTTGTGTGTACATATGCAGTAATTTAGTGTCTCAATGTGATAGAATGATGGGCGTGACAACATGCATGGGAATGGTAGCAGACAACAATATTAGTGTTAAAGTGGGGCTAATGCTAGTGCTAGCTTGGTCCATGAACCAGGCAACAAAAGAAGCTTGAGGTTTTTTCCAGGTAATTACTGTATTTTTCAGGCTATTAAGTCACACTTTTTTTCATCCTTTGGCTGGGTTTGCGACTTATGCCTAGGTGCAATTTATATATTAAAATATATAATTTCATATTATTTTCAAGTTAACAGCCTTTAGAGGGCACTCTAGCTGGCTGGTGCAACTTATGCTCCGGAGCAACTTATAGTCCGGAAAAGTAAGCTATTAGCTTAAAAGGTCTGGACCTTTTTAGGTTTTGTTGTTTGAAGTGAGGTCATACAAAATGTATATTTTAGTAGTATGTGTAGAACACGGTTGTAAAAGCAGGTTGGAACTTTGCCCAAAAGACAACCCCTGCAAATACACAGAGAATGAATACTCTGATAGAACACTGGCAAAAGTGTGAAAACGTTAATTGAGGATAAGTAGAGAAAAAGCTTTTATCAGTAAAGGTTTTTTGACTCACCCTTGTAGATGGATAAAAAGATAAAAGCCATGTTCCTAGGGGTTCCTCTTCTCTTCTTCTTCGTGGTGCCTTTATCTATTGGTTAAATATATCACATGGATTATTCAGTGTTCAGATGGTGTGAAAGGCACATAACAGGTTTCAGGTAACCTATTCACACTTTTGGAAATCTAAAGTGTAGCTAAAATGGGACTAAATCTTATATCTTTGCTCTGTTTTTATGTTTTTGTGTAATTAAGTTTTTGTTTTTTTAAAAAACATTTTCATCTGCACATTAAAATAATAGAACAAAAACAATCCTTGGGCCCTATTATAATCACTTTGACTGCTTTTGCATTGTATGGTAATATGCAATGTAAAGGAATGCCCCTGCAGCAGTTTCTCTCCAGTGAGATGCTCTGGGGCTTTAGTGCCTTAATAAAATTGGTGTATACCTCTGATGATCCAGCCCAATACTGGATGCGAACCATACACCTCAGAGAAATTTATCACTCCCTGGAATGTGATACCAAAGCAATTAGTGTCGGAGAGATTGGTTGACATGAAAAATCCTTACAACAGTCTGTGAGCCAATACAAAGGCAATGCATCTCCCTTTTATGGCCCAATTGCTTATTCAGTCTTGTTTGGTGTTCCTCTCCAAGACTCCACAGTCAATGGGGAATTGTCCTGACAGAGCAATAAATTACTCTTGCAGTTAGCATAAAGTTTCTCAATAAAGATTAGGCTGGATGCTGCAGTGACCATATGGTAATATAAACAATTCCCACAGGGAAAATGTTTCTGCTAATCAAACCCCAGAAAGTCACACAGCAGGCGAAAAAACTTTATAATAGTGCGTTTATCAGAACATCAATAAAGGCTGCCAGCCCCTCCATCCTTCCTGCATAGTCAACTGTGATGTGTGCCAATGGGCTGTGCTGCCAAATACAATGATTTCAGTTCACTTATGTTGACACTGAGATGACAGCGAATCCCCCGTGAGAGACAGCTTATGTTAGTTTATGTAGTGTAACAAACAACTTTTAAATGTCACCGAGTGGACTAGCCCTGTGCAGCACACCAAAGTGACTGGGTTACATTATTCCGCACAAGTCTGAGGGATTACTTGCATGCCTGTAAAACAGCATGTAATCTAACAGCCCGTGGGGAACAAGCTCCCTACAATGCAGTGAGGAACAGGCTGATTATGTTCCTGTCTTTGTAGAGAGCGCATGCACAACACAGATATGCAGACACACATTTGCAGTGAACAAAAGCAGACACACACATGAAAACTCTATCCCGGAAAGATGTTGCATACATCGGGGTGCAAGCTCATCCCATTGGAATGAGGAGCTTAGTTTATCCACTTATGTACGGAGTTAAGTCTTAACAGTTTTAAATTTAGCTTTGAGTGCCAAGGAAGATGCAGATATGCCAGGGAGTGTAGATGATTCAGGAGACATGTGCCTCAATAAGCTCTTTTGTTTTCCCTGTTTGCCATTTATCTCACTGTGTACAGGTTTTTCGTTCATTCACAGAATGTAAACACTGAGATTGATTAATTAATTACTTTATTTAATTTGTCCTCCTTAAACAAACAGCCTTATTAATTAAACCTGCAGTGTGACATGCTTTTTGAATAAATTCCCTGAGGTGAAGAGTAAAAGCATATTAATACTTTATGGTTAAAAAACATTATTTGTTTTAGACAACGAAGCAGACCAAGTTAATTTCTTAACTTGTAATTCTGTTTGATTTTTACAGGCTGGTTCTCAGCACCTTCTCCAGAATGAATGCCAACTCCTCGGACGAGTTTTTCCAAGCCACGAATCATGCAGAGCAGACTTTCCGTAAGATGGAAACCTATCTTCAACACAAGCAGCTGTGTGACGTCCTCTTGATAGCAGGGGATCATAAGATCCCAGCTCACAGGTCGGTGTCTGTGCATCTGCTGGTCTCTGATTTGATTAATTACATTTGCATCCGCTTTATTATACATTGAGATTCTTGTCTAAATCAGCAGTTTACAAGCGGAGACACATTTTGTCATCCTCGTGTATCTGAGGGCTAATTAAAGAGACGAGAAATTGTTCTTCTGATTTTTTTTTCTAGTGACAGCTGACAAGAATGCTATGTCAACTCAGTGTTCACTGGTTTGCATCTAAATAATGAACACTACTGTGATCTAATTACACATCAGTCCTCCCCCATCTTCACAGATGATTTGATACATGGGAGAACGTTGTGATCCACTGCATGCAGTTGTCAATATCTGGGCTTCCTGGCCTTGGTTGACTGGCTGAATAAAACAGATTACATGACATCCTTGGAATATCGAGAGGCATTGTGTTCACTGAGCTCAAGTTCGATACACGCCTCTACTTTTGTTATCTCATCCAGACAGACTACTGAAACAGAAATGAAAAAAAAAAGCTCCACACACAGTAAAAGAGAAAAGTATCAGTCAGGAAAGTAGTTTGGTGTAAGGAACAGCTCCCTAGCTGCCTGTTACTGTGCAGTTTTATATTTGCTTATAGGACACATGGTGCAGCAGTGTCGTGGTTGATGTATCAATCCATCAGATGATGTATAGACACAATAAATTATGCATTGTTTAATACTTTGTTATAGGTTGTCGTTGAGAGATCATTCCAGATTGATGAAGTGTCTTTTCTACCCATCATTTCACACTCGCCGACTCATTCTAACATTGTCTGTACAGGATGTCAAAGAAGGAACAGGTAGATTTATAGAACATTTATACTTAAAACCTCTTACTTGACCCACTGTTGTAGTAGTCCTGATTTTGGACCCGTGCATTGTATCTTATTTACTATGTCTTTAGAGAGAACAATTCAGATGTATTAGAAAGGCACACACCTTCATATATTATTCATACTGTAATGGAAAAGTACAAGGCAGGAAAACTGAGGCTACTATCCAGACCTCTGCAGTCAAAATGTGATAAGTAGCAACATAGATCAGTGCAAAACCACTTTGTGTTGCCTCGAGCGCAGTGACCTTAGTCGGTGTGAAATAGAAGTTTGTTCCTGCCATGATTCTGGGCTGGTCAGTTGAACTGGGTAAGGGTCACTCTATCACAAAAATGTACTGCAGAATGGAGAGAACCTGCATGACGACATCTGAACAGATGCCCCATCAGTCAGACTTTAACGGTAGAGTAACCAGATGGAAACCAAATTGAGTGAAAGTCACAATTGTTATGTTTAAGTTATTGGATGATATTTAACGGATTCTGAAAGGCAGGGGAAACCTTAAATAACTTCTGAATGTTAAAAAATGTGATTATCTGTAAGAACCGTAATGTCTAGACAAGTATTTATATTTATATGTACTCTTAAGGAAATAATAACCCGTTTGTTGATGTAACAGACAGATTGTCTGTCCATCAGTTTCTTCCTAGAGTTTCAGGAAAACTCTAGAAAAAGTGCTTGACTGTCCTTGAGTGACTTGTGGAGTCAAATCTCGCTGTAACCACAGAAAATCTATGACAGATTGAAATTCACAGACACCTCCCATCTAATCCGTTAGCACGCTAGAAGTTCTGCTGGGAAAAGAAAAAAACAGGATGAACTGTCCAACTCTAGGTGTGCAGAGCATGTGGATGACTCTGTGATGATCCCAAATAGTCTTCCACGGCACTGTCTGGTTAATGAACAGCCAAGAAACAGCCGGAAAACCCAACAGGGAAATCCACCTAAAACTGCTGCAGTTTGGATGCTTTAGCTTTAGTGAGACCCTAATGTAATTACAACATGAACCACATAATAAGAATCTTCAACTATGTCATGTGATCTCACTTTCTTGTGGCGCCCTGTGATCTCCCCTTCTTCCATTAATCAATGAGTTATTCGAGCCAGACAAATGAGTTAATGTTATTACATGTCTGACCAGTGTAGCCTTTAGAACCATGCGTGGGCTGAATTCATTCATCATTCTCGGACAAAGACTGTACTCAATTTGGAGGAAACAGCAAGTTGTTCGATTTTCTTACATTACTGTAACAGGGTTTTACAGTCAAAAATACATAAATGGTATCAGGAGCGCAGGAACACCATTTCATAAAGACATGTCCTTTGTGGTGAGGAAAGACACGCAATGTTACGATTGATTCACTAATCACTATAAATATTCAAAATATGTAGGTCTCCCACTGAGACTTTAATGGAGGTACAGTACCAGAGCCTTAATCCCTGCTGTTTTCCTGATGGCAGATTAGTCCTGAGTGCTGTGTCAGACTATTTCGCCGCCATGTTCACCAGTGATGTGAGAGAGGCCAAGCAGGAGGAGATAAAGATGGAGGGAGTGGACCCGGAGGCCCTTAGATCTCTGGTTCATTTTGCCTACACTGGTAAGTGCTCATAAAGACATTCACAAGTGCTTGTAAGAAGTTATGAGACTTTTTGAAATTCTGCATGATTAAAATGGATCAATGAGGCCATTCATCAAAGGCCGAACTGACAGGGAAGCACTGCTGCAAAAAAAGCTACTTTATTTTGCCAGACAAATTGCCCACTGATGTCTCCTCCAGCCCTGTGTTGGAAACGTATATATCCACTTGTCCAGTAATTTTTAATCATCTGATGAAGAACTATTCTTTAATAGGTGTTTTTACAGTTAATTTAATTTTATTGGAAATATATTTTCCCATTTCCTTGATTAAAACGTTGATTGTGACTCTTCTCCCACTGCTGTGCGAGTGTGTCATAAATGTACTTGCTTGTCCTGACATTGCAGGTGTCCTTGAGCTGAAGGAGGAGACTATAGAGAGTTTATTGGCGGCAGCTTGCCTCCTCCAGCTTTCACAAGTCATCGAGGTTTGCTGTAACTTTCTGATGAAACAGCTTCATCCCTCCAACTGCTTGGGAATACGCTCCTTTGCAGATGCCCAGGGCTGTGTGGACCTGCTCAATGTTGCACATAATTACACTATGGTAAGAGGATGAACAAAGACAGTCAACAGGCAAAGTGGATTATTGTTTTCATTTACCTTAGAGTCAGGAATCACTGTTGTAATGAAAACTATTTTATCCAGTGTAAACTATATTGAATGGCCAAGCATGGAAAAATCTCTCTTCCTGTCACTTCCAGCCCACGAACGTCCAACATCTGACTTGATGTAATTTCTAGGTTTTTTAAGTTCAATTTTGGTTGGTTGTTGTTTTTTTGTTTTTTTTTATGCTTTAGTTTGTTGTTTAAGAATTAGAATAAAATGTACTGTTTACATTGTAGTATTATTCAGTATTTATGTTAAACCAAAAAAAGGGTCTCATTTAAAACTGAGACTCCTGTCCTATATAATCTTAAAAAAATGTTTTATATGGAGATTTTTCAAAAGCATTTTCATCCAGATAAATAGAAATATCTAACTAAGGAAACTAGGAAAAAAGAAAATACAAGTAGAGGGCAACATAACCAAACAGTCATTTTCTTTATGTTGACCCATGAAATGAACAGAGGAAATGTTTTTTTATTTACCCTTTTTTTTCATTAAGAAGACGAATTCTTTTTATATTCAATATTTTAATGAAATCGTCATACTATTATCTTTTAAACATTTTTATTAAAGATTGATGCTGCATTTCATACATCCATTGTGACAGAAAGAATGTGACATGGTGACATTACTCTGCCTTGAGATGAGCCATTTTAATAACGTGTCATACTTTTATACAAAGACCTGTTTGGCGTATTGGTTATTTATATGGGCTAGGCTCGTCTTGGAAATAGGAAAAGTGCGCATATGAATAGAAATAGAACAGTCTTCGCGCTCACACTTTATAATTTGGTTACGTGGCTGTCAGTAAGCGGTACCACCTTGCTGCAGATTGATTAGTGCACCGACAGACTTGTGAAATTGTGATTTCACTATATCTCAGTGAGGCGTATTTGCATTGGATTAAGATTCATGCTCATATTTTTTCTGATAACGTCTCGCTGGCCATGCAGTAGTGACAGCTCGAGGCCGCCGTTATCTCCTGAAGGACATCTGCTCAGCCTGTTTACACAAGCCCTGTCCAGGACCAGGAGGTTAATCTAATCATCAAACTGCACAAGAGGGCTAACTTCCTGTTCAATCATTTCAGTAATGAGCAGGGGGAGTTGTGGGCTTCCTGGAAGTCCATCCTTCAGCTTGAGTTGTGTTTTGATAGGCTTGTTTTTCCTGGTTTAGTCTGTCAGCCGAGCTCGGTCTTTGACATCCTTTTCCTGCATGGAAGAGTTGTGTGTTTTATGTTGCTGCAGACAAAAACATGTTTTACTGTTTGCGCTGACAGCTCTTTCTCAGAAACACACCTGCAAAGACCAGCCACAACCTTGCAGATTTTTCCAAAGTCAGATATAAGCCATAAAATCTACTGCATGAACTCTACAACTACAATTAGATTTTTTTTTTAAATGTCTTTTATGTGTTTCTCAAGTTACGTGGTAGTAAAACAAAGGTTCTGAAGGCTCCCTCAGATCAAACATCTGCAATTGTTCTCTTTAGAACTTAACTGTTATTATACAATTGCACTTTGGCAGTAGTCAAGACAATTAGCATTCTCTCCTGCTGATCTTGTTTTCCGAGCAGTTTACTCGCCAACGAGTATGTTGGCATTTGAAAACCTGTTGTTTTTGTAAAATAAACTACGTTGAGCCTTCAATTCTGCCGCCAGCTGCCGCGGTTGAGTAAAGAGAAACAATTGGCCTTAAGGAATGTCGAGCAGTTGCACAGAATGTTCCCCTCAGCATTACCACAGCAAATCAATACATGTCCCTCATTTCATTAAGGCTGTCTGTGCTAAGCACTTAAAACCTGTTGTTAAAATGAATTAGACCAGAACACTGTAATGTGTTGCAAGTCAATGATCGATGATGTGTTTGTGTTTGTACAGTCAAGTGTCCACTTCAGAGTTATGGCCTGATTCTTCAAAATTTCTTCGGAGGCTTAATTATTAATGTTTACCTCCCCACTGCCCTGTAAAGATAAAATAAAAACAGTGTGGGATTATGACCAGGGATTGGTCGGTATATCTTTGAACACTAAAGGACCTGTAGAAGAAGAGAGCAGTATACAGCATCATCTTTAATAGAACTGCCCAGAGACGGTGTCCTTGAGGATGTAGTCATGCAGCGCTGCAATATTACCTAGGCTCCAGGCCAGTAAATGGAAGATCAATCTTTAGGAAGGCAATAGAGAGGAGCTTCAAAAGTTATACCTGCACCCGCACTGGCTTGGTAATACTGGTGTGCAATGTGTCCCCCATTCATACAGCCATAATGGATTAGCAGCCACATAAGTGATCGGTTTGTGATATTTTCTAAAAAAAATAAAGTCCTGTGCTAGATTGCTTTGCAGCCTAGGAAGATAATTCGGTTTATAAGCAAAGTGAAACCGATGATAGTTTCCCCTTTTTGTTGGAGAGAAATATACAGTACAGTCTTCAATTCATCAATTATGTTTGAAATGGAAGATTCAGATCTCTAAATTGGCAGTGACAGCCCTCTTGGGGTCATTATTCTTCTCTCTTTGTCCTTGTGACATTTGGTAGTCATACACACACAGAGACACACACACTCGCTGCTCAGTTAATGACTGATATTTATCTGCCTCCACCGTGTTCTCAATGTTCCAGGAACACTTCCTGGAGGTCATTCAGAACCAGGAGTTCCTGCTGCTCCCCACAGCTGAGATAGTAAAGCTGCTCTCCAGTGATGACATTAATGTGCCCGACGAGGAAACCATCTTCCAGGCGTTGATGTTGTGGGTGCGTTATGATGTTCAGAACCGACAGCAGGACCTGGGCGTGCTTCTGGCTTATATCCGCCTGCCTCTCCTTCCTCCACAGGTGAGAGGGCAAACAACAGCGTTTCTGCTCTGTTGTAGGATTAACATTAGGAATCAATCATATCTCTACTCAAAGGATCTGATCAAAATCATTATAAAGAACCTTATTTCTCTTGGACTATAGATAAGCTGGCAGTCTGACAGTCAAGCTGATAACCAGGCCTAATGAATGCTGTATTCCTCACATCCGTTGACAGTTATGTAATTTATGAAACATCAAACATGCACCCACTTTTATTTTGGCTGACATGAACGCTGCTGTAGTGTTAGAAACTGTCTTATTAACTCATGAAGATGATAAATATTTATATTTTAGGTTGCTGCTAAAGGCAAGAAGTAAATAATTTATTAACTACTGTAGTACCAGAAATATAAATGTGATATCTCCAACCCCCTTTTTCCTGTGAATTTTGCACAACTGGATGTTCATGTTTAGCTTAATTTGCAACATAAATTGACTAAACATTTTAAAAGATCATGGTTGTACTGTTACTGATTCATACAACCGATGCAAGTACAAGTATTTTCATTTATGTACTGGCCAATACTGAGTACTAACACCAATATTCTTTAGGTTGGGTTTCAGTAAGTATGTAATGAACTGGAAGGCAGTGTTATATAGTTGGCACAGCTCTGTGGGTAAGATGATGACGCACAGTGTGTAGGTTTGAGCTCAGCTGAAACCACAGTGATATCACCAAGCGGGGCAGTGCTCACAGCCAGGTTTATTTTCTCCACATTAACAGATGGCTGTTAAGGTGTTTTAATGAATTGCTTGTATAGAAACAGAACATATATACCAAGCCTTGCTGCTCTGTTTATCCCTGATGTTAAACCCCCTCCAAACTGCTGACACATCACATTGAAATAAACTACCCATGTGGGGAATGAGACACTGAACTGCAGTAAGGAAAAGACAGGGTTGCTGGATCGGCACGTTTTCAAGTATTTGAATGAAGTACTGGACCTGATATCAGTGTGGGTGTATCCCTAATATTAATTTCCATTACAGTTGTGTAGCAGTGAACATAACTACCTTGAACCAGCAGCACAAGATATCAAAAATAATAATTATAGTAATGACCAACCTGTGGCTCACAGTACAGTTTCAGGACAAATTAAGATTAATGTCTCCAACATAATTTAAGTATTGGTGATTTTTGGGTATGGTCAACTACATTGCACCAGACTCTACCAGTGTTTAGAGCCATGTGTTACATTTTACACTACTGACAGGACGCAACAGAGGCAGGGAGGAAGCACACCAACATAAACTCTGTAAACTGACATTGCAATATGGCTGAAAACACAAAATGCCAAAAGTTTTGGAGGAGACCCTTCTGTTAAAGAGACCATTCAGCAGTTTGTGCTACTGTATACTATGTACAGACAAACTACAAACTGCCTGAGTCACATCTGATACTCTGAAGAGTCCGTCTTCAGATAAATGATGATGCAGAAAAACTACATTCGATCATCTCTGTTCCCTGTAACAAAAGAAAAGCAGAAGAAAAATACTGACAGCGGCAAGATTCACCCAAAGTTAGACACTTTTTTTAAAGCAGAGGAAGAAGATGAGCCAGGCAATAACAGTGACATTTTACCTGCAGGAATAACAAGATCAATAATAAATACATGCACAAAAAAAAAAAAAAAAAAAAATTCCAGCAATAGAAATGAAAAATGCTGTAAAAAAAATCAATAAAACCACAAAATGTGCTCGGAGGAAATCTCCTGCATCATTTTCCAGCACAGACTTTTATGATATATGAAGAAAACCTGTGAGGGAGTGATAAAAAGTTTCATTTTAAAAGCACAGTAAATGCAGGGTGAGTAGAGCATACAGGTTAATTACTTTTATGAAGTGGCCTCCTGTAGTTAAAAGTGAATGTGTGAATTACTGTTACATGTGAAACAGTGTGTGTGAATCTGTTTTTATCTCTGTTCTTTTCATTCGATTCATTTTGTTACTATTCAACCTTTCATTACAAGATGAAATCCACTAAACTGGTGCCTCTCACGTAGCTCCTCGCAGATCTGGAGAACAACAAAATGTTCTCTGAAGACCTGGAATGCCAGAAGCTGCTCATGGAGGCCATGAAGTATCATCTCCTGCCTGAGAGACGACCCATGTTTCAGAGTCCCAGAACCAAACCCAGAAAGTCCACTGTTGGTGCACTTTATGCTGTTGGAGGAATGGATGCCAACAAAGGTAGAATCTGTTTCATTAAGCAGAGATCTTTGTTTACAGTATGACGTGGATTCATGATTAAACATTTGCATAACATGACAAAACAAGTTTTTTTTAATAAATAATCTCTTTTTATTTGAGATTAATATAAATATATGAAGGAATTATAAGTATAGGCAAACATAGAGAAATATGCAAAAATATAACTAAAGGTTGAGTTTCATGGAGTTGCTATATTTTCACTGTGCATTACTTGATAATTAAAATTAAAATAATAATTACAATATTTAATCTATTAATTTCACTAATTAATTAATTTAATAGAGGTAGTATGTTCTGTATAAAAACCAGCAGAATGGTACAAAGTAATAGATGCTGGAACACACCATCAGAAATCAAGTGCTCCTTTATTACAAAATATGTGGCTTAATTTTTCTACTGACAGTATGCAGAGTCATGCTACTTGCTCCACACACCTCTGATCTCTGGAGCCACACTGAAGTAACTGGAGTATAAGCTGCATTTGATTACCTTCACACTCAATCTATAAATCTGAATATTAGCTGCTGCTTTATTACGTGGAATATGGTACACTTTATTCACTTTTCTTGAATAATTAATTTTTATTGACTTCAAGAAACAGCTTTTTTTTTTTTGGTTTTAGGCTCGACCACCATAGAGAAGTATGACCTGCGGACAGACACCTGGGTCCAGGTGGGAGTCATGAACGGACGCAGGCTGCAGTTTGGTGTGGCCGTGATAGACAATAAGCTGTACGTGGTTGGTGGCAGAGATGGACTCAAGACGTCCAACATGGTTGAATGCTACAACCCAATAACTAAAGTGTGGTCCATCATGCCTCCCATGTCAACACACAGACATGGACTGGGTGAGTGTGTCTTGTTAGGCATTTGTGGTTAAAAGGAAGATTTGAAAGCTTAACATGCTAGTATTTTTATATAATGCTCATGAAGGTACAAGGTATAGGAATGACAACATCTAGTGCTCAAATCTGCTTATTTATAGTCGCTATTAAGGAGGTTACGTCTGCCCGCTTTATGCCCGTAACCATTATAAGTTAAAAATGAGAAAAATAAATATGAAATTGAAATGCGATTTATGACCTGAGGAAAATTGATTAAAATTTTATGGTGATGTGGTACACTGAGCAGTCTTAGAGAAGGTTTGCACTCTCCCAGCAGGAGCTCAATTATTTATTTATTATTCACAGCACTTTGAAAGCACATGACATTTAACCTTGTGGTGCAAAAATCTATACAATAAGTTACTTTTACATGCAAGATAATCTTACAAAATTCTTTCTTTTTTCCCCGACTTCTGAGGATATGTCACATTCAGGCTGTTGGGTGTTTTTTCCCAAAAGCCCTGGGATGTCAGCTCAGTAGGGTCACAGCTGGCACACTGATGGAAAAAAACACAGCTCAGACATTTCCTTTTGAAATAGACCTTTGATATTTTCCTACTCCCTATCAAAGTGTGGCAGGTTGTGCTGGCCCTGCTCTTTTTTTACTCTTCCCTGCTCAATAAATCTCATATCAGGGACATTTTTGATTTAGGGTTTGAAACAGTCAGAGGAACAGCAGAGGAAGACCTTGTCAAAGCATTCATTTCACTCTTGCAGCGTGGTTAGAGGCATCAGTGAGCCGAAAAGACCCCACTGTACAGATTACCTGCACTGCCTTTGATTTTCATGTGGCAAACATCTCCTGCTGCTTTGCTTCTTTCATGCATATTTTGAGGAATGTGTTAGAACTAACTCTGCTGGTCTACACCACCACAGCCATTTTCTGATATGTGCATAGTGGGAAAGGAGAAGAAAATAGTAATTTTCTATTTTTATTTCCCAAACCACAATGAAGACCTTCATGCTTCATGGAGAGAATGGTTCCTGCCTGACAGTGTTGATGTAATTTTGAGGTCTATGGACAGCTTTTTGCTCCCTCAGAATAATTGAACTCTTGCGAAAGGAAATAAGGGTGGTAATATAAAAATCCATTGTGTTAACACATCCTTTCCTTAGTTACCGATAAAAACAACTTTCCTCTGTGGTCTAGAAATAAGGAATAACAATGTAGCATTTCACTCTTCCTGTTTTTGAATAGATGTTGTCAGCTCCTTCCTCTAGAACAACTGCACCTCTGCCTCGGCTCCTTCCAAGAATTTTAGAACCACGAGACTGGCTGTTTATGAGTCATAATGAACATTTGGAAATGTAAAAGTCTGAATTCATTTTGACTCAGTTGGACTAGCAGTGGTAGGTAAATAGGTATTATAATTAGGTCTTTCATTTTGTTTGAATAATTTAATATAGAGTAGTAGAAATCAGCAGCTACATCAACTACAGCAGGGGTCCTCAACCTCTGGGCCCTGGACCAGAACTGGGCCATGGATCAGTGGTATCAGGCCTCACAGAATGAATAACAATAATACATATAATTATATGTATTATTAATAATTATATATTTTTTAATTTACATTAGTCTGCATGTTATTCTGCCCCTCCCATACTTTTACATTAAATTGGAAACTGGATAATTTCATAATTTCTCAGAGAATTAGAGTATATAGACTTTTCCCTGCTTCTGTTTACAGGTATTGCAGTACTGGAGGGTCCTATGTACGCTGTTGGGGGCCACGATGGCTGGAGTTACCTAAACACAGTGGAACGGTGGGATCCTCAAGCCCGACAGTGGAACTACGTGGCCAGTATGTCGACTCCTCGCAGCACCATGGGAGTCACAGCACTTAACGGAAAGTAGGTTTAAAAAGAAAAAAAAAATCAGTTTAGTAAAGCACCCTGAAAAAAGAGAATTTTTAAAAAAAAAAAAAAAAATCAGTTTAGTAATGCACCCCTGAAAAAATGAACTTACACTTTCATACAAAGCATATTGTTTTCATTCTTCTTCTTTGAAATATCATCTTGCCTGAGGTTGAGTTCACTGGCACCAGCAGACACTGAGGAGGAAAACAAGTAGAGACAATTTACACTTAAAAAAGGCTTCATGCTCATGTTGGTGAATGCACCCAGAGGTCATGTCTGCCAAAAATTTCACTTTGGCATGTAAATGCAGAAAATCTGCCTATTGCGGTTGTATATATTTAGTTCCAGTGTTTCTGACTTGCTTGATTTGTCAGGGTTTTTCTGCTTTCTTTCCTTTCAACAACAATGTGCTCTGCTTCAAAAAACAGGCACAGAATATGCAGAGTAGAAAAACAGTCACAATCAGGGATAACAGTATTACCAAAACAACTAATGTTTTGATACCGAGCATTTTTGATACTTTATGGGACCACACCATGAAAGAGTGCTTAGTGCTCTTGCCTTACAGGAAGACAATCACTGGTTTAATCCCCTCAGGTGACCATAGTCTTTATGTATGTAGTTTACAAGTTCTTCCTATGTGTGTATAAACAGCTATATAGTATTTAGATCAACTAAGTAAATATTGGATAGTATTCAATGGTACACTAATGTGCCATGGCCTAGCAGAAAGACCACTCCTCATTTTAGGACCCAGTGCTCTAAATTGACCACAGGTATGAATGTGCATGGTTGTTTGTTTTTGGTATGGGGCCCTGTGATGGACTGGTGAGGTGTCCACTGTATTCCAAAGGCTGCTGTGATTGGCTCCAGCTCCCCCATCACCCTGAAAAGTTTAATTTAATACAAAAAATAAATAAAAGGCCAACACTGAGTGTTTTTTTATGTACAGCATGCATTGCTAAATGTTTTACAGCACTTTACTATTGGAGGTTTGAATTAGATTAACTACAGCATGGCCGTGCACTACTTCACAGCTCAAAGGTCTTTCTGATTAGTGTGATAAATCATACACTCAGAAAAGAAGTGTGTAAAAGCAAACCACTTTGTATATTTAATGCATTACAAGAGGGTATTAAGATAAACTGAGAGGAAAAATATGCAGAAAAACCCAGACCCACTCCTGTTTTAAATTCGCTGCTGATAGAGAAAAAATACCTGCTGCTCTTCCACCTCCAGTCTTCAGTGTTACAGTTGATGCAGAGTTATTTTTGCATCTAGGTCAAAAATAGACAACAAGACAGCCCTTTTTCCACAGGCTCCATGTCGTCGCTGTCAGGCCTTTGAGCTACACGTACTCAAAAATACTTATGTGAAAACAATGAGGGAGAGCACGTTAAAGGAAGACTTGACACTCGTCTCTCACTGCTTTTCTTGACAGCTCCTCTCAGAATCACAAGTCAAATTCTGGAGATGTTAAAAAACGAATTTTGAATTTTTCCTCAGGTTGTTTGCAGTAGGAGGCCGTGATGGCAGCTCCTGCCTGAGGTCAATGGAGTGCTTCGACCCCCACACCAACAAGTGGAGCATGTGTGCTCCCATGTCCAAGAGAAGAGGAGGAGTGGGTGTGGCAACCTATAACAACTTCCTGTATGCTGTGGGTGGACACGACGCCCCAGCCTCAAACCACTGCTCTAGGCTCTCAGACTGTGTGGAGAGGTCAGTGGGGAAAACGGCACAAACACAAAAATACTGCATCATGTTTGCTATTTGTCTCTATCGTTACCAAATAACGTCGACCCTTACACTCTTACTGCGGTATCAAGCTTGTTAATGGTTTGAAGAATTCATGTGGTGGTCTATGCTGCCATCTAGTGGCAAAACGGCAAGCGGCCTGTATCTATTGCAGTGTTGCTAAATTAAAAACGCCTTGATTTTCAAAATGTTTGCAGCGATAACGATCAGTAAAAACCAAACTCGACACCTCATATAACTGTTCTTTTCTCTTATTTGTCCTGAGTAAACTACTACTCTTCCTGAGTGGAAAAAAAGCGTTTGCTGGCTAACATTTGACCACACTCTTGAAAGCAACTCTTGCTGTAAACAACAGAGCATTTACGTCAATAATATTGTTTTATATTATTGACTATTTCAAAAATACTTTGCAGGTATGACCCAAAGACGGACATGTGGACCACCGTTTCGCCCCTCGGTGTCCCACGAGATGCTGTGGGTGTGTGTCTTCTTGGTGAAAGGCTGTATGCTGTGGGTGGATACGATGGCCAGTCGTATCTTAATACTGTTGAGTCCTACGATGCACAGAACAACGAGTGGACAGAGGTAACACAATCAAGTTGATGAAATATCGAAAAACGTATACGTAATGAAATACAGTGGTCTTATAATGAGCTGGTTACTCAATGTAAGACATGGGTTTGTTCAGTTGAAGACAATCATTTTATACTCACAGAAATTAAAGAAAGACGATTAAATGTTTTTATTCAACTTGGTTTATTTTTTGTTTTAGAGCTATCTGCTTCTATCCAGTGGACAAATGCTTATTTTTTCTTCCTGTCACTGCCCCATTGATAAATCAAACTATTTTTAGTGACTAAATAACAAATTGACCACCAATTAAGAGAAAATTGAACTTTTTTTTTCAGTGACAGTAAAGGTTTTTTATGTGAAAAATTCATATTTCAATATTTTTTGTTTTTTCTCTAGGAGGTTCCCCTAAACGTTGGGAGGGCAGGGACCTGTGTGGTGGTGGTAAAATTGCCTTGAATGGAAGATAAATGGAGACAAACAGAACAACAGGCACTCATTTTTTTTGTTCTTGTTTGTTTTGTTTTTTTTAATCTGTCCTACAGACTCTTCAGATGGACACAGATGGACGCGAAGACACACAAACATACTGCTTCTGTCATTAGCAGACGCTGCAGAGAACCCGTCATAAACTTCAGTGCTTTGTGCGCTTCTGTCATTAGCAGACGCTGCAGAGTGCTCCAGTGCTCTTCATTTTTCTCAAAAGAAAGAAGAATTCTCACAGACTTGGCCAAGCTGTAGCAAATCAGTGCCAATCCTCTGTTGCGTGGGTTGTAATACTAGTTTTATGAAAAGTTCTGTGTATGTCTGTAGCAAACAAAAAAAAAAAATTGTGTTTAATAAATATACAGACATTTCTTATCAGTGCCATCACATGCAGTATATTTTTGGGTTTATAATCCCGTTTATACCCACGTGGACGAATATGATAAACGTAATTATACACTAGTGTCTTTTCTTAAACGGTGGTCTGAGCAGAGTCTCTGTCTTGAGTGAAGACCAGTATGAACTCTGATGGTGATAGGTTTGAGTCTGGGATGATGTGAAACTTGATGCTCAATGATTTTTTTGAAATATATTTTCTTTTTGTATTAAGCAAGTTTCCGCAGAACACCAAAGTCATTTGCTTGTCTTAGATGAAGTCCTGTTGAGCATTAAATGAAGGTTTACAGAATTGTGAATCACACCAAATATATCATATTGATATTTTTCATTGCTGTATAAAACTTTGGTGGACTTAACTGTAACTACACTGGGGTTGTCTGTATATCTATATAGGACAATAGGGTCATTATCTCTTCTCTTTTTAAGAAGTGTAATGCCTTCTTTGGTCACATGGAAAATGTGCTTACTAGGGCTGTCAAAATTAGGGCATTAATTGTGTATATTAACTAGAGAAGTTATTTGGATAAAACACAATTTAAAGCACTGGCAGAATGATGCGCTCAGTATCTCCAGTAATTCCATCGTCCATTTACTTATCGTTGCTTTAATACACAAGTGATAAACATGGTTTTACTAACACAAGTTGCATTGAAACATTTTCACAGATGTACCTTGAGTTTAAAATACCATCAACAGTCAGCGCACCTTTGCAGAAACTAACTTCAGCTCGGATGTCCAGCCTGTGTCTGTGAGAGAGACCGTAGACTGATTAATTTGTTAACGACAACAGCTCCACACAAAGTTTGAAAGCAACTCTTGTTTTATCCTAGAAGCCACCATCGAGATGCACAGAAAAAGGGATGCAGGAAAAGACATTTTTTTGGGTCATATTTAGCTATTTTGATTTATCTCAATTTATCCTAATTAATTGTGTTCAGATAAATTCACAACTAATCGTGATGAATTGATTTTCTCTAAAGCTACGATGTGATTAATCTGATCAAAACATCATTAGACAGCCCTAGTTCTTTTACATCACATCACATTGTCACGAAACTGCAGGCAAATTGCACTAGGTGGAGCCAAACCTACATGTGTAGATGAAGACATTGCTGTAAACAATTGAGTGACGTTTGTTCAGACCTGACAACTGTCCTTTATGCCATCCACTCTTACCTGACTTGAACTTGTAAACCTGCAGATGCTCATTGAAAGACGACATCATTGCTGTTCATAGAGAAAGCCAATAACTGGGATTTTAATATCCACCTTGGGCCAAATGCTTATTTTTCTTTCTCTTTTTTCATAATTTTTGTACAGCATGCTATAAATGAACTTCAACTTCAATCTTCTCTGCATGATCAGATGTTAAGCGTTGAATGCAGTCCCTCCTGGGGACAAATTGGATTTTTATTGTTTTGCTGTAAGTAAACAAAACCAATTCTTTCACTAAACAGACTTGGAAGCGTCTTTCATGTCTCAGTTCGGTTTTGTTCGCCGTTGCAATACACACTTATCAAATCAAATCGTCCTGGTGAACGCTGTGTTTTCGCTTCCCAATCAACAGATTGAGCACCAACTGCCTTTGTTTGTCTGGATATCGTTGTTTATCCGACAAATACTTTCAGAGCCTCAACACTGTCCTTGTGCTTGTTTGGTTGCATTTCAGTGTTGTTTGCATACAATGTACTGGCTTCAAGTCCACATCTACTGCACTGTGTTGTCTACAAATTGCTGGCTGTTTTAAGGAACCTAAACATAGTCCTAGGACTTGTTGAAGTCATTCACCAGTAGCATTCAGAGAAGTCGCTTTCTGGAACTTTCCATTCTTCTTTATCCCTCCTGTCAGACACATGTAAAGAAAATCAGTAAAGGTTAATAGCTTCGACCTGCATCCACCTCCTCCATGTATAATATTACTGTAAGCAGGTGAAACGTGGAAATCTCGTCTAAGACTAGTATGCCTGTCACAAAAACTCAAAAAAGGCGTGATGGAAACATGAGAGAAAATGATTAAAGCGACCATTTTTAATTTGTTTGTGCATCAGATAAAGCATGATTTATGATTTTTTTCCCCCCTTACTCGGCTGGCAACACGCAGAGCTAGAACCACAGCTGAAAACAAACGGTGATAAACAAAGGCTGCACCTCACGACAGGAGAGTATGATTTAATACACCACCCTAAAGCCATCAGATTTCCTAGACCTTATGAGCTTAAATGGCCAGAGGGGTGGGGGGGTGCTTTATCTGACAGTATTACACCTTCTCTTAGACACTTTAACTTGACAGATTTGACTCTGGCTCCGCGTTTTCCTCTAAAAGTCTCCAGTAATTCACAGAACATTTAGAATTGTAACAAAATTGACAAGATAACCCTGGAGAAACTGTGGTTCTCAAACTTTTTTATACTCTATACCACCAGAGAAAACATTGAGCTCTCTGAGTACCACCAGGATGACCAACATTAGAATACAGTGGCTTCCCTATTAGCTTCCACCACACAGGAGAGATGTTTATACATGTTTATAAAGATGTTTATGTTCAAATATTGTATTAATTGTGCATGGTATGTTTCAGATTTATTCAATTGAAAATGTAAATGTGAAAATATGCCACTAGAGAGCGCTCCACTGTTTGAGAACCACTGGTCCTGTTGTGAAGCAAATATCTAGATTTTTTTTCCCCCATAATTTTTTTCTCAGTTTGAATTCCTCTAAAATGCATTGAGACAAATTGATAAAAACAGGTATCAGTAAAACGACTTCAGGGAAAGGGAAATACATAAAGTAAAAACATAAAAGAGCAGAGTATTTGAATAAAATATCTTGTACTCAGAATGCCTGAAACCTGCCTGTCAGAGTTTGTTAAAAACACAAGTTAGGGACCAGGATAAAGAAGCTGTGTCATCAAATTAAGACCCTTTCCAATAAAATTATGGAAATAAAGTCTTAAATATGGAGTTTTCTGTTCAGTTCAGTTAGAATGGCTTCATCTTAATTCATATTAGCATTACATATTTATTAGGCACACACACACACACACACTGCTTGACTCCTAGTTGTAAGTTCACTCTGACCAGTACATGAGCTAGGATCAGTTATTTTCAAACTCTAAAGTAATTAACATTCAACTCTTCACACTCGCTTTGACCGGAGACCCAGCAATGTGTCCCCGCTTCATTAGAACCGGTTTAGTCTCCATCAGGACTACAGGTCTTAAGAAGACCAGTAACGATGCCAGAAATAGTCTTCATTAACGACGCACGCTTTTTTGCTATATGAAAAATCCCTTGAAAAATCAGTAGAGGGTGCTGTTACACCGCAATAATCCCGCACTCGGTGAACGGCAGCAGTCCTCAATACCGTTACTGTTCATGAAAAAATGTCAGGCAGCATTAAGCATTCCAAGGACAAATACTTCAGCTAATAACCTTGCATGATTATTGAGATATGATGATGAAATGTGGGGAAATTGGTTGTTAAGGCACAACCCGCTCTAACTTTGAAATGAGTAAGTTTGCAGGCTTTACATGGGAGCAGACGGAACAGTTTTGATATGATAGATGATTTGTCAAGTTGTGAAGGGGGCTTGGAATCACAGGCGTCTGAACAACCTCTCACAACTGTGTGACAAATGCAGACAGATTGTTCTATTTTTGAGCTCTCTCCCTCGCCTCTGTTTGATTTTTTTGTTGTTAGATGTGATTGAGCAGCTCTCCTTTGGTTTTTATTCTTTTGGTGACAGTGAGAGATGGAGAAGGATGAGAGAAAGATGCAACAGCACAGCATGAGCTGTAAACAATGTACTGTATCAATGTGGTGGACGTGAATAAATACCATGTGTGTGTGTGTACGGGGCCGTATTCTTCTGTAATGTGAATATTTGAGTTTAGAAGGAGCTGCGTAGGGAAAAAAGAAAATGTGGCATCGCAGTGATAACATGTTGCCGTTGAGAGCCCTCTGATTCATCAGATAAATGATCGTGTTTGCTTTTGAAACTTCAACACAGACCAGCTGATCACATACAGTAGTATAGGACAAATGTATGTTAGGGTTAGGGATGTTTCCTACTGTAGTATTGGCATCAATACCTCATGAACATAGTAGTACTCCTCATCTAAAACGTGTCGAGCCAGTGATCCAATGCTCCGTGAGGGTTTTTCACTGCAACCAGGTGCACATTGGTCAGCTAGTGTTGTGTTTTCCTACTGCAGTTCGGTCTCTAATTGCCCTCATGGGCAGTTTATTTAAGCATATCAGCAATGTCAGCAGTTTGGAGGTGTTTTGACACCAGGGACGAAGACAGGAGTGAGACTTGTGTCAGTGTAAAATTTGTTCCGTTACAATACAAGCAATAAACAAAACACCTGAAGACTTAGTGCTGAACCTGCTGAAAGCAGGTGTCAAATTCAGGCACGTGGGCCAAATCTGGCCCCTGGTGTAAATTTGAGTTTGACTGATCTAGAATCTAGAGTCTTTTCTCAGGTCAAAGTCATGGTGGATAGATGACTGATTTTTTAAAAAAAAAAAAAAACTATTTAACCAATTTGCTTTTTAATCGAAATGCAACATTAGGGTGAAAGCTCTGCTCACTTTCTGTTCAGCAGTTTGTGAAACCCCTATTTTTAGGGTCTTTTAACAAAATGCAAACAAACAAAAACAAACAAAGGGTCAGCTTTTTCATAGGTAGAGGGGACCACAGGAATCCAACAGTCCTCCAAAACAGTCTGTCATTTCAGAAATAAACTCACATCAATCACTGCATTATTGGTACTTCCAATATCAAACTGCAGAGGTAATCCTATTTCACAGCGCGACATTTTTCGTTGTCTGAATTTGGAGACATTTTCTCCGACCTGTTCCACAGGCAACAGGAAAAGCCTCCAAATGCAAAGCTGTGGGTCCGTGTTCAACACGACAGGGGAACGTGAGGAATCAGATGCTACACAGAGGAAGTACAACACAAACGCAGCCTGTCGCTGACACTGCTGTTGACGACAGTAGTTAGCAGAGCTTTCATGAGTCTACCACCAATGCAGGAAATGACAGTTGCTTTTCTTTTTTGATCAAAGGCAGCAGACAAGTACTGTAGAATGTTACACCCCTCCTCCCCCTCCCCAACACCGTCTCCATCTAATGATAGATGAATACATTGTCATCTCATTATCTTTGAAGAGGGGAAAGATCCCTCCCATATGAGTGGGCACCACGTTTCTCACCATCAGAAGCCCGAGATTGGTGAAGCACACTCCCGTCTCATTATGATGAGTGAGAAATATCAGACGCGTCCCATCTGTCTCATGTCTTTCGCACACATGCTTCAGCCATGAAGGCTTAAAACCAAATTAAAGTTATCATTTTCATCTACGATTTTTTTTTTCTAACAACGTTCAGTCGCAGGTTTTAACTCCGTCACTGTCTCCTCATATACTGCAGTCACGGCAGTTTTAAATACGCCTGGCTGGTCATTAAAGAGTCGGCCATAAAAGAGCTCTGAACTCTTGGACATGTGTGTCCGGTCGGCGTCTTCTGTCCTCATTTATATTCAGAATATTGTCTGGTTTCAAACACTTATTTACCCCCAGGCAACAGACTGTACGGCTTTTACTGCTTCCACAAATGCTTGACAAATGAGAAGAGAATAATAAAACAAAAATAAAAACATACCAGTGCAAACCTTCTCTTTTCCCCCCAAATTGTACACCCTCAAGGGGAAAACTGTCTCAGAAGGAGCATTTATTAATAATAAATTAAACAATAATATCATGTCTCTCTGGTATTATCAGACCAATAACCCAGCCATGCTCGGAGAAAAGAAAAAGATGCTGCACAAATTAAGTTTTATTTATAAATTCAAAAGAAGTCAGATTGAATTTGCAGTCGTTGTGTGAATATTTATTCAGGGATGAATCGCACTTAAAACTGGGAGCTGACAATAGGATGTGCCAGCAACGTCAAATTGGTCCCAGTTTCTGTTGACTGGATCTAACAGATGTCATGGGCCGATTGCCAAAACATCTTATGGTGGACACAGTAGAGTGGAAGCACAACACTGATCTACATGATGGATGTCAGATCAAAATGAATCCAGCCATGCTTTTACCAGCTTTGAATTCATGCATGGGGAAGCCTGTCAGGGCCGAGAGATGATGTGGACACTGGCTCTCGCTGTTTGTCAAGATTTTACATCCCTCCCCCTCGTTTCTCGTTTGAACCAAGTCATCTGCTGTGGAGCAGCTTGCCGCCAGTACGCCTCAGAATCCAGACTCAACATTTTCACAGGAATGACTGCAATTAGACTGTTTTGTGGGTGTAAATCATCCCTATGCATACAACATGCAATTTATCATTTTAATGGGCCCCAACTTTCTCACTGAACATGCCTTAATTTGGTAACTGCGCTTGTCTATTTTATATTTTATGTGTATAACTCAGACAGTAAATCAGTGGATGTTTTT